TTTTTTTTTTTTTTTTTTTTTTTTTTTGGTACCGGGGATTGAACTCAGGTCTATTCAGCTTGCAAGGCAGGCCACTGAACCGCTGAGCTAAATCCCCAGCCCTGGTCCTTGCACTTGTGAGGCAGGGAAGTTTGTGTTTTATCAAAGTAATTTCTTCTGTTTTCTGCTGTTAGAATTTTAGTTACCTAGATAACTAGATCTTAACAGAGTTAGAATTTGTGTTGATTTATTGTAAAGGGTAAAATCTGGATTAACTGAACAATTACTATTTTAGATTATTAAAATTTATGCTATGTATATCTGTGACTAAAGATATATCTATATTGATATGGATATGTAAGAACTAAATATTCTATGTCTGAGGTTTGTAAATATGTACAGTTTATAATTTTTTTCATTTATCAGTTTATAAATTTAAGTAAGTTCAGTAAACACAAGGTAACCAATAAAAGCTCTCTTAAAACTTGGGCAACTTTGCTTTTTATATTCAGTAAATTCTACCATTTAACATTTGATCTACATCTATTGGCTTTGACTGAACTTTTTTTTTTAGAAAAAAGCGATATACTTGTATATTAAGTAATGTCTACTTGTGGTAGATAGCACTAAGCTTCAATGAGACCTAAAGCTATTGTTTGATTTTTTTTGTTGTTGGTGGTGCTATTAAACTTTGTGATTATTAAATACAAAATCACATGATTATAGATATACTACTGAGCCATAGGTTTTTTTCCATTAACTTTATTGGTACATTTAGGTATACAATACAGTTAAATTAGTCATTGGGATCTTGTACTTTTACATGATGTATCTTGGTTCTTATTTTTTCCCCATCCCCCTGCCTTCCTTCACCCCCTCTACCTCTTCCTATTTACAAAGTCTTTGTTCCATTTTTTCCTTTTCTTATATTTTTTCTTTTCCTTTCTTTCCTTTCCTCTACCCCTCCCACTTCCCCTACTCCTTTAGTCCTTTTATTCCTATTTCATATTATCAATTATACATTTTGATCCTTATTTACACTTTTAGTTTATCATACCATGAAACTACTTGGTGTTTTACACAAGTGTATCCTATTTATTTCACTTAAGAGTATGGCCTCAATGTGCATCCACTTAGCTATAAATGTCTCCAGTTACTCATTCTTTATGGCTGAGAAGTACTCCATTTTATTAAAAATCCACATCTTCTTTATCCAGTCTCCAAATGATATGCAATTGTGCTGTTTCCAAGTTTTAGCTATTATAAACTGTGCCGCTATAAACATGGGTGTGCATATATCACTGTGGTATGATTCTTTTAAATCTTTTGGGAAGATGCCCAGCAGAGGAATATTTGGGTCAAATGGGAACTCTAGTCCCAGTTCTTTGAGGTATCTCCATATTGATTTCCACAGTGGTTGCAGCAGTCTGCACTCCCACCAACAATGGAGAACTATTTCTTTCTCCCCAAAGCCCTGCCAGCATATGTTATTGGTTGATTTCCTGATAGCAGCCATTCTTTCTGGGGTGAAGTGGAATCTCAGTGCTGTTTTCATCTACATCTCTAGAATGGCCAGCGATGTTGAACATTTTGCTTTTACTTCTTTGTCTGAGAAATGTCTGTTCATTTCAGATGCCCATTTTTGAATAGGGTCTTTATATTTGGGGGGGTCTGATTTTTTGAGTTTTTTATGTATGTTAGTAAACCTTTGTCTGAGGAACAGCTGGTAGAATCCCCCCCGCCACATTGCAAGTTGCCTCTTAGCTCTGTTGGTGGTTTCTCTTGCAGTGCAGAAACTTTTTAAAAATATGAGATCCCAGTGTTGATTCTTCGTGTTAGTTCCCATGCTACTGAGGTTTTGTTCATAAAGTCTTTTCCTATGCCAATGTCTTCAAGAGTTCTACCTAACTTATCTTCCAGCAAGTTTAGTGTTTCTGTTTTTTTTTTTTCATGTAAGAGCTTTTAATATGCTTTGATTTTTGTATA